GGGGGGGAGGGGGAAATGCAGCCTTCCTTGGATTTGAATGAAGAATAGGATTAAGGTCTTAAGTTATGTTGGGACTATGTATTTATACGGGTTTAGTCTAATTTTATACTAATCATTTGAGCCTAGTTTTAAGCATTGTAGTTAATACTATTTGGGATTAAGACACAAAAGTAAGACTGAGCTTTTAAACAGGTGTGATCCTTCACGATTAATAGTTATACTTACTTATACTAACAAATACATTACACTTACTTATACTAATATTTACTAACACTTTAATACTAATACTTATTTATTATAATAATACTATAATAATACTAATACCTGCTTAAAATAATACTTACTAATACTAATACTTACTATTGATAATACTAAAATAATACTAATACTTACCAATAATAATAGTTACTGATAGCTAATAGGAATACTTACTTAATCACTTGAGTCTAACGTTAAATGTTAGAGTTCAGACTAATTGGGACACACACTTGACACACATAAACTTGACTAAGCTTATAAACATATGTGATGTGATCATCTGCGATTAATAGTAAATAAAAAATTATGCTGAAACTACCACTTACTAATACTAAAACTTACTAATAATAATACTTACTAGTATTGATACTTACTTATACTAATAATTGCTAATACTAATACTTATTAATGATGATACTTACTAGTATTGATACTTACTTATACTAATACTTGATATTACTAATACTTATTACTAGTATTGATACTTACAAATACATACTAATAATGGACCCGAACCAGAAAAAAATCTTAGAAGCCAGAAAAAGTCGTTAATAAATATATAGAACATTTTCCCGGGCTATGGTGGACAATTAATACCGAAGAAATAAAACCTCTCAAAAGTACATTGAAGAAATCTTTTTTAGAACAATATAAAGAGAACTTTCTTGCTTAAATTGTGTAAATAATTGATTTTCTCTGTTCTTCCTGTGATTTGGAAAAATGTATTTTTGCTTTGCATAATTTCGCAGAGCTGCTTGGTTGGTTCTCTTCCAATCTTCTCCCTTTTTCTGTGATATGCAATGAAATCACAAAAATCAATAGTACGCCATTTTTTTTTCCTTTTTCCCACTCCTCCTATTCTCATTTTTTTTGCTTTTATTTTTTGTAATTATTTTGTGTAGGGCCTATCATTTAAAACAGTCCTTATCAGCTATATAAGTCCTGACTAATGTATTGCATGTGTGAAATAATTTTTTTTTAATGTTTGTCATTAGTTGAAAATAAAAAATGTTAAAAAATGTTAATACTAATACTTACTAATACTTACTAAGTATCCAACAAATATAACACTTTTAATACCATAGAAAATAATATTACAATTTAAAATAATAATTTTAGATATTCGTAGTTCTGCATTTATAAAACACTAGCCTTAGAGGGCGCTTCACACCCATCTTCTAAATTAATTGTGAACATGTTCTCATTGTGTACATTGTAAAACAAAACAAAAATAATTCGCGGATTTTCACAAAAAATTTTGTGGATTTTCAAAATTTTAAAAATTTAATGAAGATCGAATTTTGATGGAGAAAAATATTTAAAATTTCAATCATTCATAAACCTTCCCTGGGGTCCCTAGATGTCCCACAAAAATTTGGGCCCGATCGGTTCAGCCGTTTTGACGTTTATTGGACACAAACAGACAGACAAGCCAAATTTATATATAGATTAAAGTCATGTGTTGTTAAAAATAAAATTTAATTCAGAAACTATTCTGTTACAATTCTATGTTGAGCCTATATGAACAATTGAACAATACATTTAATTTTCATGCAATATGCATTATCATGGTATAGTAATCATGGTATAGTAAAAAAGAATACTGTAAACCCACCAAGGATGTAGAACCATAGCCTAGTTCATTCAACCCAAGTTAAAGTTGTATCATGAGTTGAGAACTGGACAAACAAATAATATTGATTGTATTTAACCCGTTACTACTGGAGCTGGTATCAACGGCCAGAGGAAATTTCCAGGGCAGCAAGATTCAAATCCTGGGAATCCTTATCGGGGGAACACGGATAACGGTGCTTTCGTCGGAAGAGAAAGCAATCTGAATGTCCATTTTGGTTCCGAGAAAAGGGGAGTCTTGATGAAGGATCAGAAGAGAGCGGTCGATCACAGCTCCAGTAGCTCCGAGAGGAGAATTAGCTCCATCTATGATTCCAGGATTAACTTCGGTTGATCCTCAGTTTGTATTTTAATAATAATGTAAAATAAATGTCCGTGCAAAGTTAGTGCTTTAATCGATTCCATCTGGCTTGTTATATTGAGTTTCTCTTTGTAAAGTTGCCTTTATTGAGTTCTTTATACATGAGTTTCTATTAAGTTTATAATACTTTTTAATTTAATTTGAGTCAAGAAAATGTTCTAGAAATATATATTTAGATAAAAAAAAAAATAAAATAGAAAATTTCAATGTTATCAATTAATCAAAAGTCAGCTCAAAAAATTCGCATTTTCATGCACACTTAAAAAAAAATTACAGTCTTCATAAAATGAAAACTTTTATCCCGCAGATTTTATTCACAGTTTCATTATCTTGGGTTAAAATATTCTTTTTCTTCCGAGGCAAATAAGTAACCTTCTATAAAGGCAAAACAGGTGTTTTTATATTGTGCGGATTTTCATTAAAAAATTACACATTTTCAGAAAATTAAATTGAATAAATTTTTCTTTCAAATCGTCTCATCTGTTATCATTTCGGAAAATTTGTATTTGTTTTGATTTTTACTTTTGTTTTTTGCTTTTTTTAACTCTTCACTAAGTTCGGGATTAAAAAACTTTATTATTTTGCGTAAATGGATAGTTTTGCACATTTAAAACTGTTCTAGTAACCTCTTTCAAAATAGTAATGCAATTTTTTTTGGTTTATAAGTTTAGCAAAGTTTGAAATAAAAATATGCAGCAGGCCCTTATCATAAACTTCAAGCATATTTTTATGCAAAAAAAATCCAAGTTTGTATAATTGTAACGTTAAACAAAGCTCAACTCTAAATTTCTACATTTGGTTCAACTTTGTCATTTATCAACATTTCATACTTTCAGAAATGTAACAAATGTTTAAAATGGAGTCGACTCGTCCTATAGGTAAGCTATAATATCATTTGGACAACATTTTTGGTGGGATGTGATTTTTAATTTAATTAAATTTCTTTAATCAAGAAAATGTTTTCCCAATTTTGCAGTTTTCATGTCTCTGTAAAAAAATTCGTTCTTTATTAAAAAAATGATTAATGAACAGTGAACAATTCAGTGGAAATACTATAAGATAATTTCCATTTTTAAAATTTAATTCTTAAAAAGTATAATATATATTTGTTCTCAGTGACCCTAAATTTAATGATTCTCTCAATACTGATTTGTACAACGGGAAAACAAACCAGGTAAAACTGTTGAATATGAGACCCAAGGTACTAATGTAAGGAAAGTTAATTGTGGTCGCGTATACTCTGTGTACATATTGAAACCAGTTCTCTTTGGGCGGAATTTGTAAACAAGAATAGATGCATCAGTGTTCTTCTGGTATCCAAGGTGGTAATTTGATAATTTTGAAAATTCCCATATTAGTTTTCCTATGTCCAGAATATTTCATAGATTATTCTTATGAAAATGGATTCCATGTCAGGGTGGGATATCCGTCTTGTGTTTACTTTTCCGCCCAAAGACAGTACACTGCAGTACAAAAAATGCTTACACCTCTGAAATAACTTTCCTTGCATTAGTACCTTGATAAAACCTAAGTTTGAAAATTTTTAATGCATAGCATTTGTCAGTCAAGAATATTATTATTTATAAACGTTTTCTATTAGGAAAAGTCAATTTAGATAACCATAATGTAAACAATTTACGCAAAATTAACCCTATCCCTGCTGGGGTACTTGAAAACCAGGATATGCTAAGGAATAGGGTTAAGCCTTGCGGTCATACAGAGAAGTACAGGCCTACCCACAAAAGATAAGATTTCAGAGACGACTGTACGGAATGTATTAAGTTTTGCTTCTTACATTCTTGTTTCAGTTCCCTTGCTGCTTTATCCTTTAATTTACAATCCTATTCATTAATGCCTTTAATTCAATTAATGTTTTTTATTCATTAATTCCGATCTCTGTTTAGACCTGGGCAATTTGCCGTTAACGCCGGGGAAAACCATTGATTTTGTATGTCTTATTTAACCTGAATTTAGTCACCGCTAACGCTACGTCGATTCGAATTTCAGTTTAAATTAATTATTGTTTTGTGTTTCAATGAAAAAGATCATTATTTATTTCTCATTAGAAAACCAACATGAGTAAAATTGTAAAATAAAATGTGAAGGGTACAGCACAGAGGAAGGCAGGAGAGGAATCCGAATATACGTCCTAGAATTGTTAATTACAGGTAAATTTGTTAAGCTTTTGTCTTTTTTGAAAAATTATTCAATTTTATAAAAATATTAATTTTGCTGAATATTCGTAGACAAGTTGAAAAGCAGATATTAGACAGCATTCTCTCCCCTTCAATATATGACGCTCAGATTAGGCATTCATTCATTTATCATCATAAAGCATTATATATTGACAAAAGAGTTATTTTTGAATCATTAAAAATTTTCAAAAATTAAAAAAAATATCTGAAACATTTTTAGCGTATACATAAAAGAAAATAGCACGAAAGCAAATTTGTAAAGTTTACACTAATAATAAGTTGAGGGGCGCGTACTGCAAATTCCGGTTCATTGCAAGCTGTACAGTACAATTACAGACTATGTCAGGCAAACCGGGGCAGTACGCCAAATGAATGATCCCCTTCTAGTGAAATTTATGTGTGCAAAGCATACTGAAAGCCTTTTTATTAATTATTCAACTTGAGCTTGCTATTTTACAGTTTTATCTCGCATCACTTTTAATCTATATAAAGTATGGTTTTAATTATTTAAATTTACAGAATATTAATGAAAACTTTGGTTAATAAACAAGCAAAATGAGTTGTATAAAATCATATATTTAATAAAATTTATTTTTTTAAACTTTAAAGGTTTAGGGATTGCAATTTTTCTGCGGGCTATGTCCAGGAATTGGAAATGAAAACTTGCCTAAAACTCTAATATTTTCTACATAAGTAGAACTTTGCTATTTCAAACTAAGAATTCTGTTTGATCTTAATAATTGTCAAACTTAGAAATATCATTAATTACACCACCAGGCTACAAGGGATGATAAAATTGATTGAGGCAAGTGCATCAGTTCCTCGTGTGTAGAATATTTCATAAGTTTAAAGGGACTGTAAACGTAATTTCAAGTGACCCTCCATGCAAAGATGGCAATGCCCCATTCACAACGGTACCCTTGAAACCTTATTCTGATTAAAAATATGGAGGATACTGACGCCTTCAATTCAAATATTTTTTTCTATTGCTACTTATAAGCAAATATACATACCGAAAATTAATTTAAACAGTTAAAGGAACAAACATTGATAACTTATTAAAAGGAGTGACCGGCTGTGTAATTTAGTTGAACTGAGTATGCAGTGTTTCGGATTCATTTGAGACATATTAAACTTTTTAAAGATCTGTTAATCCTGAGTTTAAGCGCAAATTCGACGTTCAAAACTCCTACTTTGGGGATGGATATGTTTTCAGAATTAGTTTTTTTTATTATTAGCCGGTCACTCCCTTTAAAACACCTGAGGCCGAATTTAAAGAATTTGAGTGGCGGCTTAAATTTAAGCCGCGGCTCAAATATGGTTGGTTTCACCTAAAATTGTATTCAATGTTTCATGATTTAAGCCGGCGCTCAATTGAAACCGGTTTTTGGTGGATTTAAGACGCGGTTCAAATTCATTAAATTCGGACACTGATCAGATTAAAAGTATCGTTGTGAATCAGCATTGTCATCTTTACATGTAGGGTCAATTGAAATTACGATTCAGTCCTTACATATTCTTTTATTTTACTTTTCCTAGATTTGTGCTGACAAGATAATAAAGTAAATCCTAAGATTTGAATCATTAATATAACAAGATTAGAAAGGTTAATTAAAGAAAGATAAAAAGAAGAAGAAAACATTCTATTTAAAAGTTTTTACTTCAATTTATAAGTTCTAAAGTTTGATACAAATGAACTGTTATCTTGAGTTATGATTTTTAAAAGTCAAATATAATATAAAACATAGAAATTGTTAAGAATTCACTTAATACTAGTAAAACTATTGTCAAATGTTTTTAAAGATTGATTTGGTATTGATATTTCTGATTTTTCTGGTTCTCACTGTACATAAAACAGATATGATTGCATTTGAAAAAGAGTTATGTGGTAATTTTTTGCTTTAAATATTCTAAAACATTGATGAAAAAAATCAAGAATTTAGTTTTTAAATTTTAGTTTAGTCTAATCGAGTTCAAATAGATTCATTAAGCTATATTTAGATGTGAGTCCAATATCCCCCCCCCCCCCCCCCGGTGAGTCCGTGGGGATTCTTTTACAAATATAATCCCTCACTTACACAAAAACAAAAGAAACCATTTTATTTTTAAAAATACCAGGGATCCAGAAAATATGTATCTAAACACAATTGATAATAAAGAAATGGAGTCATTGCCACAAACTTTGACATTCTTTTCAACTATCTTTGTAGCCCAATGTGGTAAACCTTGGATATTTCAAATTCCAGTGAGAGTTAGAAAACTGTGAACTAGAGCACGTGGATTTGAAGGTTATGCCAATATTTCAGAAAACTGTGACTTTCGATCACAATTTTACTCATTAATCACAATTTGTTATCGTTATTTCTTAAGTATCTTTTGGTCGGCATATAAATTTTGAATGAAAAAGTCTAGAACAATAAAACCGTAAATTAAAAGATTGTTGAATTATAGACCAAAACATCCACACGTGGATTTAACGATTCTGTCAATATTCCAGATGGCTGTGACTTCCGATCACAATTTGACCCATTAAACATAATTGTTTAGCCTTTTTTCTTAAATACTGTTTTGTCGGGATAGGCATTTTAAATGAAAAATTATAAAATAACAAATCCGTAAAATAAAAGATTGTTGAATTATATACCAAAACATGGTTTATTTTAAATAGAAGAAACCGAATGCTTCTCACTCTGGTTAGTCCGGGGTGAGAGAGACAACATAGAAGCAGTACTTGATGTTGTTACAAAGTAAATAGTGTAATATTAACATATTAAATCACCCATGACGTGAAATGGCACTGCCTAGTGCCTATATTCACATTTGCGGTTTTCATGTTCATTGTTTTATCTAAAATCATAATTTGAGTCTAAAAGTCGTCTTCCTGTTCCAGACTTTTTTAATCTCACTGCATGATTTTTGTAATATTTAATAAAAACAAAGATATAAGGATTAGAAAATTTGAATATGTGCCTAAGACTGAAATTCTTTGGTTCTTGTATCAGACCTAAAATAATCTAACATACCTCATTGTCGCGTTTAATGGTTGTGGGACTAAAATCAAACTTAAAGGGAGTGTTCGCGAAAATGAAAGGGGGTATAGGCTTAATGCGATAAAAATGAGAAAATTGTTTAAAACAACTAATACCAAAGAACGTAGTGTCCATACAAATTCAGAAAGATGCAACATTCAACTCGATTATTTTTCGACGCATTCGTAAATAGTTTATAGTATTTTTCATGATCTGAGAGTTACTTTTGAAAACATTTATTCCTGTTTCGAGGATTTTTGAAAATGAAGACGACATTTTCATATTTTCCGAAAATTTTCTAAAATCCAACGCCATCAAAATTATTTAAAAAAAAAAATCAAAAATATTATGAAATATATACTATATACGAATGCGTCAAAAAATAATCAATGCCTACTGTTTGTAATATTTGAACGATTTGTTTGGAATTAAATTGATTTGATTACGATCCGAGTTGAGTGTTGCATCTTTCCGAATTCTGCGTTCTTCGGTGTGAGTCGTTTTTAACAATTTTCTCCTTATAGACGCAACAGATAGAAGTAAGACTTGTAGCGATCAAAAGCGCTTTTTTTATCACATTAAGCCTATACACCCTTTCATTTTTCGTGAACACTCCCTTAAAGTTTAACAGTCGTCTTCCCAGTCTACAGTTATTTGTCCGGTCTCACTGTACATCTGTTCTAAACATATTTCTTGTTTATGTATTCATAGCTCTTACCCTTGTAAAATATTGTGTAAAGCTGGAGTGTGTGTATAAAGATCTTAAAGGCTCAAATAACATGCTTACATAGATAATACCATACATGAGAATATACAGGGTGTCTCACGAAACATGACAGCTGGTGAATAGTTTTGAATTTCTTCTTCCATACACTAACTTAGATGAAAAAAATACATTTTGCAGTTTATATTTCGTGAAAAAAATGTTACTCAAATATATTTTACTTTGAAACCAATTTTACTATAATATGTCATGTTTTGTGAGACACCCTGTAGTCTGTACATTAACTAGATATGCTATCTAGGGTATATTCACCATACAAACATATATACAAATGGTAAAAAAAAAACATCTCAAACTATTGATACAAATATTTCTTAGTCAACTGATTAAGATTTAAGTAGTTATTTTCAGTGTCTTTCTAAACTTTCTAAAATTTCTAAACTTTCTTAACTTTCTAATCTTTCTGAACTTTCTCTACTTTCTAATCTTTCTAGACTTTCTAAGCTTTCTAATCTTTCTAAACTTTCTAAACTTTCTAAACTTTTCAAACTTTCTAAACGTTCTAAACTGTCTATAATTTCTAAATATTCTAAACTTTCTAAACTTTCTAAACTTTCTAAACCTTTTCAACTGTCTATACTTTCTAAGCTTTCTAAACTGTCTATACTTTCTAAACTTTCTAAACTTTCTCAACTTTCTGAAGAAACTTTCTAACATGTCCGATGAACAATTGTACCCTTTAAACCCATCAAATCTGATAAAAATGCATGGGTTAACAATATTTTCAAGCGAAAAATTGATTACTGTCAATTGTGGGTCCTCTATAAGATTGTGACTTTTATGGATTTCTACTACATCTTGCTTATTATCCGGTTTAAGGGGTACCCATTGAGAATGCCAATATATTGATAGAAGGCCTCTTAAATTAACAGTTCATTAGAAAACAAATTTCTGCAGATTTCATCTTTAAAGATTTTTAACATTTTTGTTTTGGTCTTTCAATCTACATATAAGTTTTTAATGTTCTCTTATCATTGACAATAGAAAAGAAATTTTTTAAACAAAAAAAATGATTGGTAAATCAGTTTATCTGTCAGTTTTTAACAAGGATGAATTTATGAATGAATGACTTTTAGACCGCGGGGAACTAATCTTTCAATTGCACAATCAGGAATATTTAGAAATAGATAGATATAGACATGTATAGAATATAGATAGATGAATAGATTTTAGATAGATAGACGGATAAAATAGATGTATATAGATAGATAGATCGATAAATAGATTTTTAGATAAGTAGACGAATAAAATAGATTTATATAGATAGATAGATCGATAAATAGATTTTTTAGATATGTAGACGAATAAAATAGGTTTATATAGATAGATAGATCGATAAATAGATTTTTAGATAAGTAGACGAATAAAATAGATGTATATAGATAGATAGATCGATAAATAGATTTTTAGATAGGTAGACGAATAAAATAGATTTATATAGATAGATAGATCGATAAATACATTTTTAGATAGATAGACGGATAAAATAGATGTATATAGATAAATAGATCGATTTATGTATAAGATTACAGATTGATTTATTGATAGATATATCTATAAATGCAAAGCTTTAAGATTAAACCACACTAAAGAATTATTTGGGCTCGTCAAGATATTTTGAGGCTTGGATTTCAATTTTGTGACAGAATGGTCAAATAGAAAATATTTTGACAGTTTCACTTGGGAAAAACAGAAAAGTTTGGGTTGGTTAAAATATTAATCTTCTGTTCAAAGTTTCTGATTTAAACCAAGGTTGGAGAATAGTCTTCTTACAAATTTGTAAATTAGACAAAACGAATCATATTTTATCTTTAATTTTTTTCTATCCTTATATTACTTTGTACATTTTTAAAAAATATTTCAAATGTAATTTTTAAATGACCACCCTTTAAAGGGACTATAAAGGAAAAATTAAAGGTCAGCTCATTGAAAAAATACAAGACCAATAACTTTAATAGTTTTGGTGCTAGGGAGGGTTGAAAGATGCCAAAAAAAATGGTCAAAAAAATATCAAAGATATTTTTTGTTTTAAACAAATATTTAAGGGTTGACACATGATTCTACATCCATTTTTCAAGGGCTTTTCAAAGATATGGTTTTTAGATCTGTAGCTTTAGCAACCAAAAAGTTATCGGCTATGTTATATTTTTTTCACAGAGATCGGGCTTTTTATCGTCCTGTGCCGTAACCTATAAATAAAAAAATTAATATTTACAAAAATCTTTTAATTTTCTTTTCATTAAAAGTCAAAAATTTTACGGTGGTTGTTTCAAAAATGTTAGGACAAAAAAACTAGAGAAGGGGGGGCGTTAAACGTCCCCCCCCCCCAGCCTGCTTAGTATTAATAAAATTATCAGAATAAGCGTGTGGGAAACAGGTTTTTTCTGGTTAAAAATCACCCTGATTTTTATATCAACCTATAAATCTAAAGTTAAAGATTAAAAGTTGCGAAGACATTTCTCTTAATAAAATGTGGACCCAACTTCTAAAGATCGGGGAAACCATTTGTTTAAAAACTTTTTAGACCGCTGACATTTCATTCAGGCAACAAAAACTTTAAGAAAAAAATTTTAATCACTTAATATTTAAAAGCTTTTTTATCTTAAATCGACTTGAATTTATGTGTTTGGAAATAAGTTTTGAAGGAGCAAAATTTAATATGAACATTTTCAATAAGGAAATAAATGTCAAAATTAAATTTTAGTAAAACCTAGTAAACTGTTCGATATATTGAACTGATAAATGCATTAAAAATGACTGCAATTTTTTGCAAAACTATAAACAAAGTGTTAAAAATATTCCAAACCTTTTACTCGGGTTTTTAGACAAAATGATTAAAAGAAATTAAGTCTTTGTGACAAACTCTATTTTTCTAATTCCTTTATTTTTGCAACCCAATGTTTTAGACCTCTGATATTTAAAACTTTAAATTTTGTAAATCAAATAATATATGTTTTAAGTATTGAAGGCTTACACGATCAGGTTACCAAGATAGGGATTTTCCAAATGTTTTCGATAAGCTAGAACACTCATGAAACAGTCAAAAATGTTTAAAAAGCATTGAAAAGGAAATGCATGTTTATTGTATAAAAGGAATCTTGTTTAATGAATCTAGAATCCTGAATAGATAGTATGTTATCAATATAAAGTTATTTTCTTCAAAACCTTTTAGTGATTCGATCCATCTTACATGGACAGGTATAGAAGAAGGAAGGAGGTTAGATGTAGTAATATTGAAGGAGTTAAGGGGTTAGATGTAGTAATATTGAAGGAGTTAGGAGGTTAGATGTAGTAATATTGAAGAAGTTAGAAGGTTAGATGTAGTATTTATATTAGGAGTTTGGAGGTTACATGTAGTATTATAGAAGGAGTTAGAAGGTTAGATGAAGTATTATAGAAGGAGGTAGGAGGTTAAAGATGTAGTATTAGAGAAGGAGGTAGGAGGTTAGATGTAGTATTAGAGAAGGAGTTAGAAGGTTAGATGAAGTATTATAGAAGGAGGTAGGAGGTTAAAGATGTAGTATTAGAGAAGGAGGTAGGAGGTTAGATGTAGTATTATAGAAGGAGTTAGAAGGTTAGATGAAGTATTATAGAAGGAGGTAGGAGGTTAAAGATGTAGTATTAGAGAAGGAGGTAGGAGGTTAGATGTAGTATTATAGAAGGAGTTAGAAGGTTAGATGAAGTATTATAGAAGGAGGTAGGAGGTTAAAGATGTAGTATTAGAGAAGGAGGTAGGAGGTTAGATGTAGTATTATAGAAGGAGTTAGAAGGTTAGATGAAGTATTATAGAAGGAGGTAGGAGGTTAAAGATGTAGTATTAGAGAAGGAGGTAGGAGGTTAGATGTAGTATTATAGAAGGAGTTAGAAGGTTAGATGTAGTATTATATAAGGAGGTAGGAGGTTAGATGTAGTATTAGAGAATGAATCAGGAGGTTAGATGTAGTATTAGAGAATGAATCAGGAGGTTAGATGTAGTATTATAGAAGGAGGTAGGAGGTTAGATGTAGTATTATAGAAGGAGGTAGGAGGTTAGATGTAGTAATATAGAAGGAGTTAGAAGGTTACATGTAGTATTATATAAGGAGGTAGGAGGTTAGATGTAGTATTAGAGAAGGAGGTTGGAAATTAGATGTAGTATAAGAGAAGGAGCTTGGAGATTAGATGTAGTATTAGAGAAGGAGGTTGGAGATTAGATGTAGTATTAGAGAAGGAGGTTGGAGATTAGATGTAGTATTATAGAAGGAGTTGGAGATTACATGTAGTATTATAGAAGGAGGTAGGAGGTAAAATGTATGTATTCGAAAGGGAGGTAGGAGGTTAGATGTAGTATTAGAGAAGGAGGTTAGAGCTTACATGTAGTATTAGAGAAGGAGGTAGGAGGTTAGATGTAGTATCATAGAAGGAGGTAGGAGGATAGATGTAGTATTATAGAAGGAGTTGGAAGGTTAGATGTAGTATTATAGAAGGAGGAAGGAGGTTAGATGTAGTATTAGAGAAGGAGGAAGGAGGTTAGATGTAGTATTATAGAAGGAGGAAGGAGGTTAGATGTAGAATTATAGAAGGAGGAAGGAGGTTAGATGTAATATTTTAAAAGAAGTTAGGAGGTAACATGCATGTATTAGAGAAGCAGGTAGGAGGTTAGATGTAGTATTATAGAAGAAGTTAGAAGGTTAGATGTATTATTAGAGAAGGAGGTAGGAGGTTAGATGTAGTATTATAGAAGAAGTTAGAAGGTTAGATGTATTATTAGAGAAGGAGGTAGGAGGTTAGATGTAGTATTTTAAAAGAAGTTAGGAGGTAACAATTATGTATTAGAGAAGGAGGTAGTAGGTTAGATGTAGTATTATAGAAGAAGTTAGAAGGTTAGATGTAGTATTATAGAAGGAGGAAGGAGGTTAGATGTAGTATTAGAGAAGGAGGAAGGAGGTTAGATGTAGTATTATTGAAGGAGGAAGGAGGTTAGCTGTAGTATTATAAAAGGATTTTTTTCTTAGATCAAAATACGTTTAAATCCTTAGAACTGATTTCTTGATATTGCGAGTAGACGGACCAACTGTTGTGCTGGTAAATCTTTATGTTCGAAGTTTTGAGAAAATTGATGATGTAAAAATGGAATTCAGTGTTCAAATCACTTTCAGGTAAATAGCAAATAAAGTCATAACATTTTCAGTAAAATGCAAGGTGTCCCAATAAATATGGGACTTGGGAGTTAAGGGAACAATTTTTTTTGTTCAATTTTTTTTTTGTGAACAAATTTTTATTAGTATTACAGTTAAAATTAAAAATTTCTAAGGAATTAAGTCGTTGCCGCAAGCTTAATTCATATAATTGTGCAAACACATGGCGTAAATCTTAAATATTTTATTTGATATTTAATTAACAGAATTGGTAGTTTTAAATATCAAAGGTCTACAAACTTAGGTTGCAAAGATAACAGGGCTTAGAAAGACTTAATTTCTTTCCAAGGCAGTTGTTGACCGACCTTCTTCATATATAACCATAGAAAATAATGGAGATATTCACAAAACCAAAGTGTAAAATTTAAAATTATGGAATAAATTTATATTTGAAGAAATATATATTTTTATCCTTGGTTTAGACAGGGGGGGGGGGGGTACAGTTTGTTTTGTACTTTTGTATAAAAAGTGCATGATGTATCATGTATTAAGGTATACACAATTGAGTCATTCCGGCGGGGTAGGCCAGGGTAATTTTGTTTGATTTTTAGAGGGTAGGAGAGTGGGGAGGGGGCCATAAGATAAAAGTTTGAATGATTGATTTATTGATTTGATTTTATTGATTGATTATAATTTGTATGATTTCTAGGCAGCAATGGAATGATAATCGTCTTGAATTCGACGATCAGGTAATATTTGATTGTTTGATTTATGGATAACTTCAAAGTCATTTTTGATCTTAAAAAAGGCACGAGGCATTGAACACAGGTAGCTTGGTTTTGGCCCTAATCCTCCCAATTCTAAAATTATAGTCTGCCATTTATTGCTCTAAAAAGTAACAGAGAATTTGGTTTAAACTTTAATTTAATAAATAAAACCGTGTAAATGTCTCAATCTAAACGAAATCATTCATATCTCCGGAAATTATGAATGCTCAAAAATAATAGACCAAAGTTTGGAAACGTGAGGATTGGTGATTATAGTATTTAATTGTTGCTAAATCAGATTATTATAACCTATGTTGAATGCCGCAAACTATTTCAAAGGTCAAAGGCAACTTAATTTGAAGTTTTCAATCAATTCTATTTCGGCATATTGAGAACATGACAGTCATAAGAATTTTTATAATCCAGCATTCAAAGTGTTGTTTTCGACAAAATACTAATTTTTTAATTTTTAAAGATGTCAACAATTGATAGAATGCAATTAATATTAAATCTTAAGACAGAATGAATAGTTATCACAATTACATGCCGATCAATAATTGATTTTCAATTACAAACGATTCATACTTTTTTTTTACATTTTGAAAAATTTTAAAAGTAAAAAAATATTTTAAAAAAAGTGAAATTTAATATGCATTTAGGCAGGTCGGATAAAGTACTTGACAATGACCGAAAGATCTAAGGTAATTAAACTTTTTTTTGGGGTGTCTTAAAATTAAAGTATCGAATGTATGGAATTGCATTATTTACTTATTATTTAAAACTAGCTGAAGGGCCCGGCGTTGCCCGTGAAAAACAAAAATGGAAAAAAATTGTTTTAAAAGAAAAATATTCGAAATTTTTTACCCTATTACAACCCCGGGTACCCATGAGTGAACTCAAAAAATGTCAGCCCAATCGGTCCAGCACTTTGGCCGGCTATAGATATCATATAGATATATATAAGAGATTATAGAAAGAAGTCTGGTTGAAAATTATAAAAGAATAATTTAGTTTTGATATTTTATTGAAAGTAAAAATCTATTTTCAATTGAATTCTAGTTTAAGATATCGTTAAATCTAGAAACAGCCATTTTCTAAAATTGAATTTTACCAGTAAAATTGTATCTTTTGTTACAGCAACAGCATGCCACATATAAATTTAACTCTGGCATAAGATATATGTGAAAAAAACTCTCCCCGTTTGAACTGATTTGGTCAGGCTTTGATCAACATATAAAACAGTGCCTCTTAAAACGCCATACATATCAGCTTAAATTGGAATTAGAATTGAATACCCTTTATCCCAATTTCTGAATCTAAATATCCAATGTGGACACTTTCACTTCCTGCTTGATCCGTCTTTTTTTCTATCTTTTTAAATAGATACTACCAGATTCCGACCAATCAGAGTTCTCTAGTTTAATAGCTCGTACAATTTCAAATCTGATTGGCTGAACGGAGTTCTTCATACGCCACACTACTGCTTGAATTTTAAACACTTTTTAGGATACAAACTAAAGATTAAAATAATCTTGAGATTAATAAAAAGAGATGATCAAGCATTGATATTGATATCCCCAATTCTAAAGTTTTCAGCTCTGGTAGGAATTTAATACTTGGCAAAATAATTTTTAACTTCAGAACATTGAACACAAAATAGATGGAGGGGGGGGGGGGTGTATATGACCGGAGCATACATAAAATAAATGTTTGGTTTTTAATGGTTTCTGTTTTCCTCTAATGTTTCTTAATTGATCTAACTCCACCAAATGTTGCCAATGTTTCTAAGCATATTTTGCTTAGCTTCAAACTTTTACTAACTAGAAAATAATGTGTTCTCTTTTAACAAAATGACAATATAAAAGTTTTCAATATGACAGTTGTTTAGGATTATAAAAGAAAATACTAGAAATTAATGTTTTTTCATTTAACAAAAAATAACAATATAAAAGTTTCAAAATGACAGTTGTTTAGGATAATAAAGCAAAATGCTAGAAATTAATGTGTTTTTTCTTTAACATAAAAAATAACAATTTAAAAGTTTCGAAATGGCACTTTTTATTGATTTTAAAACAAAATTTCAATATGGCGGTTGTTTAGGATTTTAAAACAAAATACTAGAAAAAAATGTTTTCTTAAATGGCCTTTACCCCCTTTATCCCCAAAACATAGACTTACCCATTACCCATCTAATCTAATCATGTCTAAGTTGAAAACATTAAATCATTTATGACGTACTACGTGTTGCAAGTTTACAGAATATCATGTTTACATGCTTTTTGCTACACCCCATGCCCTTGCTCCGCAACTCCCTTAAATACGAACCTGTTCCCCCCTTTCCTCTTCCTATTCCCAAATATTCCTCCGACACTCACTTTCCCTTCCACCCATTTACCCCCTCCCCCTCTTTCCCCTGCTTCCCTTCCTCCCATTTAGCCCCTTTAGGGTTCCCTGGGGAAATCTTAAGAACTATAAGGATGTAAAGGATAAAAAATATATTCTTATTTTTTTATTTAGGAGAAATAGATAGATTCATAGACAAAGACATATACAAATACAATTTATAGAAGGTCATAGACACAGAAATATACAGATTTAATACATATACAAAATACAAAGAGATAATATAAAGATTCATAGACACATAAATATACAGAGCTAATTTATAGATTCATAGACATAGAAATATACAAAGATAATTCATAGATTCATAGACACAGAAATATAAAGAGGTAATAAATAGATTCATAGAGACATAAATAAAAAGAGGTATAAATTTGCAGTAAATAGGTTAAAGTTACCTGTTCTCTTAGAATTGTTAAACATAAACTTAAGTAACTTGTACTTGTTAACCGTCAACTTAAAATAGTTACCTGCTAACTTGTAAATGTTAAGGGTTAACTTGTATGTGTTAACCCCTAACTTATAATTGTTAACTGCACTAACTTGTAAATGTTAACCCCTATCTTATAATTGTTAACCGCTAACTTGTAATTGTTAACCGCTAACTTGTAATTATTAACCGCTAACTTGTAATTGTTAACCGCTAACTTATAATTGTTAACCGCTAACTTGTAATTGTTAACAACTAACTTGTTATTTATAACCGCTAACTTGTAATTACTAATGGTTAACTTGTAATTGTAGTTAACCACTAACTGGTAATTACTAACAGCTAACTTGTAAATGTTAGCCGCTTACTTGTTATTGTTAAGTGCTAATTTGTAATTGCTAACCGCTAACTTGTAATTGTTAACGGCTAACTTGTAATTGTTTCGTAAACTTGCAGTTGTTAACCTGCTAACTTCAAACAGTTACCCAGTAAATAGTAACAAATAACTACTAACTGCAAACTATTTATCATTAATGGGACTGTAGGCGTGATTTCAAGTGATTCTTAAAGCTATGTGTCTGATTCAGAACAGTACCCTGTCAAATTTCTTATGATCAATGATGTTGAATTATTCTTATTATTTTACAAAACCATGTTATTGTTAATCACTTTGTTACCTGGTTGTTTTTTATTGAAGACATTTTTACGGTTACTTTCTAGAAGTCCCAGATAATAAATATTTACTTTTAGAAAATTTAAATAACCGCTTAGAACATGAAATATTTAATATTTCCGAGGGACACACGTACATCGTCAGCTGAATTGCAAATATACGGATTTACGGGAATTCAAATGATATTTGTGAAATATTAACAGGGAGTTCTCTGTCCTCGTTGAGCAGTCAAAGGTTGAAAGAGTTCCGTTGTAAATCGGATATTGCCATCTTTGCATGGAGGGTCACTTAAACTTACGCTTACAGTCCCTTTAATAATCTCTTCTCTACTATCTGTTTTATATAAAATACTTGTAAGCTGTGATACTATAGATTAAATCAACAACTCATGTCATTTCTTTACTAGCATTAATCAATTGTATATTATATACATTTCCCCATGGGCTTAGAGTATATACAATACATACATATTCATCCTTTATAGAATATTATGTTTATTTCCCCCCTTTTTTATTATGCTCACATAATCCTTCTTATTTCTATGTTTGGAAAATATACAAGGTTTAGCTTTTTCATACAAGAACATAAATTAGCTTTCATCGGAGTAATTGTCTTTTCCAGTTTTTATCTTATTCAGGAGTTTTATTTTTAGATTTTTTCTATCGTTTTTATTTGATCATTGCTTTATAATTATTTTATCATTATTGATAGAATGATTTTACTGTCAAAAATCTAGGTTTCTACTTATTTTGATTAATTTGATTTAGGTTTGAATTTTTATTTTTTTAATTAAGGTTTGGATGCCAGATACGTTCTTCAGAAATGAGAAGGATGGACAATTTCATAATATTATTCAACCAAACCTATACGTCAGGTCAGTTTAAGGTCACGTCAGGTCACGTCAGGTCATGTCAGGTCATGTCAGGTCACGTCAGGTCACGTCAGGTCATGTCAGGTCATGTCAGGTCACGTCAGGTCATGTCAGGTCATGTCAGGTCATGTCAGGTCATGTCAGGTCA